GAAGGGTCTAGGCCCGAAACGTCAGCCTTTCTGCTCCTATGATGCTGCTTGGCCTGCTGTGTTCATCCAGCCCTGCACCTTGTTGTCTATGTATTTATGTATTGGTTTTAAATAAATCATGTGAGAATAATGGAACAAAAACAGAAGTTGCTGGAAAAGAGTTAATGTTTCAGATCTGGTGACCCTTTATCAGAACTCAACTCTTAGTTGTCACTAAGATTGAGATCATCCAATCATTTTGAGGAAGGGTCACTGGACCTGAAGCATTAACTCTGATTTTTTCTTCACAGATGCTGCCAGACCTTCTGAGCTTTTCCAGCAACTTCTGTTTTTGTTCCTGATTTACAGCATCCGCAGTTCTTTCGGTTTTCATGTGAGAATAATATTAGGAGAACTTGGGTAGTCAGCAGCTTAGTGGGGATATGGTGGAGAGAACAGGAGGTTGGTCTCACGTATAAAATCAGCTTGGACAGAGCATGAAGAAGATAGAAGAGAAACCAAAAAAAGTGCAAGTCCATGATACGGCAGACGGGAGCTTAAGAGGAAGTCTGGCTTGGACGGTTAGTTCAAGGAAAGGTCACAAAGAGGCAAATGATTGGACGATCTGAATCTTAGTGACAACTAAGTGTTGAGTTTTTGCACTTATTGAAGGAAACTTAGGAGGGGGATTTAAGGAGGCTGTCCACAATTGGAGTTAACTCTGCATTCCAGGATGATGATAATGATGAGCAATGTCAGCAGTTGAGGAGAGAATCCATTAGTGGTTTATGTAGTCCTGCAAATATGGTGATGGATGCTAAACCAGCTATCAATTACATCCTTACAAGCCCTCTTTTGGACTAAAAGGGAGTAGAGATGAGGACCATATCTGAAGAGTGAGTGTGTCATAGTTTTGTTATGTAGAGGTCAGACTGCAAACTTAGCAAATCAATATTAGGACATGTTGTGACATATTTGCAGGCCAAACACTAAACAGTCGAGACACTTACAAGTACCCAACCTTGAATATTTTAACTTTGCTCCCTAGACTTAGTCAAGTCGGAAGTATCACTGTGGGGAGCATTGTTGTTTTTGAAAAGCAGAAATGAGTTGGTGTGGAGTTCACTACGGCTTAGCCCAGAGCTGCACGTTTTAATACCAGACAGCTAGCTGATCAATCCAAGGAATTAGATGGCAGCGGTAGAAAGAAGAATGAAACAGGTCATCTGCCAGTGAGCTCTGCTAAGGAATTTCTATGAAGACAGAAATAAATAGTCTCCTTTTAAAAAGGAAAATATTTTAATCAAGTTTATAATTTCAAAAGTGGCAGGATGATGTTGAAGAATGTGTCCTCTTTATCATAATCTCAGCGTGCATTATAAAAGAAAACTCTTCATGATTCAGTCTTACCTTGACAGCGTACTCCATGTTTGTAGTCTTGTGAATGCAGCGTTTACAGACAGAATATGAGCCTACACCAATATCCTCCTTCAGCTCATAACCATCAGTAAAGTTCATATTGTTCCCATGTAGCTGCTGTAAGAGATGACATATCCCCTCAAAACAAAGTACTTCATTGTTTTTTGACATTATACTCCCATTTAGACTTTCATGCAAAGCACTCTTTTATATATAAATGTGCCAAGAACGTTTTCAGTATAGTAAGGAAAACAGATACAGAGGCAATGTCAAGATTAAATGGGGATGACCTCAGGTTTGGTTAGAGGTACATTTTAAAGGAGAAAAAGGTGGATAGGCAGAAGGGTACAGTGGAAGAAATCCAGAGATGAGGGACTTGTTAGCTGAAGGCCACAATGATTGAGCTGAGAGAGGAAAAGTCAGAGACAGAGGGTAAGGGACTGTGGGGCAGGAGAAGAAAATTACAAGGTTTGGACAGGGGAATATTGTAGGAATCAAGTGTAAATTAACAACAATATAGATAATGATGCAGGATCAGATATGGGCAGCATATTGTAAATATGTAGGCCACAGAAAATTCGTGTTGATAATTATAACTGATAAACTCTTAAACCTATTTAAAAATTGCCTGTATATTTTTATGACTGAGTCGCTTAGAAATGCCACATGCACAAATTAGTTTGAATTAAGCATCAGATCTTACAAGATTTATAACATTTTCATCAGGAACGCTTTTCAGTACATTTCAAAGATGACTTTGTTGTCGATTGTGCCCTCACATAGCTGTCCAATTGTTGGTCTATACCTGTACAAATTCACAGTCCAACCCAACAAAAAACTAATCATGTCCCTCATTGATGATGCTATGATTCTTTGTCACCGAGCATCCTGAATGACATTTCTCACCATTGTCTCTCCAAATGCAATCATATAATTTCATATTTTCTTTGGGAACCAAAGCCCAGATTCACTGTTCACAAAAAAAAATCCCAGAATTTTCAAAAGTACATTCTTGAGAGCGATTTTCTTTGCAGATAAAGAAAAAAATCCAATAAAGGCTATATCTAAAATACCTAATTCAATCTAAAGACTGTTTTATTGCCCTTGTCATCCATGTACCTGAAACCTCAATTGTTTATTATAAATTCCAATGAACAAATAGATTATATATCCTCCAGTTTGTAGGGCTTTAATTGAAATACTGGAATGATTTAAATACCTGTATGACACACATACTGGATTCTTCAGTTAGGTGAGTTTCAAACAGGTTCTTGTGGTGCTTCCAGCAGTGTTGATAATGCAAATAAATTGAAATTTCTTTTTAAAAATCTCAAAGACATTACACATTTGTATTCAAGAAACTCAATTTGCTGCCAAATGCTATTGGTAAAGGTCCCATTTGCCAGGTTTATGCTAGGTGACTGCAAGGTACAAGCTCAATTGCACGATCATTGGTTAGCAGATTGTAAACCAGCCCCAAAGTGTAACTCATTTAGGTGGATTTTACTGACTAAATTCTGTGAAGATTCTGCAAAAGTGCTGAAAAGGTCTGGCAGAATGAATTGAAAATCAGTGTTACAGAGCTTCACCATTCATCATCGTTCTTCCTGCATCTCATTCTTTTCTAAAATAGTGAAACTCCTTACCTCCCTTAGTCTTCTGTTCCTCCTATAACTCACAGGCTTTCAAAGCCCAAGATTGGTGTCACCTAATCGCTTCTTCCTGAGATACCTCATTCTTTCTTCTACTCTTTCCAACCTTGGTAGTGTATTGTACTATGGCTCGTAGCCCTTCACCTGGGTTTCCCAATAATAAAACAAATACAGATAATCTATGACACCACAAATAATTGGAAGACAATTCCACAAATGATTTCCCTATATTTTGCTGAATGTATTATTATAGCATTGGTGAAAACAATAAAGTCAATAATATTCATTGAGTAGCTGACTATCTCTTAATATCTAACAGAAAAGAAAATCAGCCGCTTTGAACTGAGAAATATAGACAGAAAACAGTAGAAATTATTTCTATGGCTGTGAAAAAAGAAAGACTAGTTAATGTTTTGGCATTGTGAACGAGGATTTACCCTTAACTTTAACCTAGCTTTTTCCCTTTCAGAGACTGGAGGACCTGGTGTGCATTTTCAATGTATCTTTTCTACCCATGTTGGTGTGAAAGTTTTGCTGCAAGCAATAAACAACATAATGTAAGCTCAGGCCAAGATTGTGCTACTTTCCCGAGCAGGATTCACATGAAAAGAACAGGGGTTTGTGACATTCTTACCTGCAGGACGGGGTGAATGACTAATTTGGAATGTTCATCCTTAACCTCTTCCTCTTCAATACCTGTTGCCACAAAACTGAATCCTCGGAATAACTTGTGAGCACTGGCACTTGGAGGAACACCAGGAGAATCTGGGATACAAAAGGCAGAGTTTGAGATTAATAGAGTTTATTTTCCATTTTTCTGTTTGTGAATTTAAATGGGAAAAGAACTGTTTTAAAGCCAAGGATTGCTGAAGGATTACTGTATGTTTTGAAAGCAAATAAACAACATTATTTACTTGGACTTTAGTAAAGCCTTTGACAAGGTTCCACAAGGTAGACCAATTAGCAAAGTTAGATCACATGGGATTCAGGGTGAGTTTCCCAATTGGATACAAAATTGGCTTAATGGTAGAAGGCAGAGGGTGGTGGTGAAGGGTTGTTCTTTAGACTGGAGGCCTATGACCAACAGTGTTCCACAGGGATAGGTGCTGGGTCCACTTCTGATTGTCATTCATATAAATGACTTAGATGAGAATATAAAAGGCATAGTTAGTTAGTTTGCAGATGACACCAAAATTGGTGGTATAGTGGACAGTGAAGAAGATTACATAGAGATCTTGATCAATCGGATCAATGGGCTAAAAAGTGGCAGGTGGAGTTTAATTTAGATAAATGCGAGGTATTGCATTTTGGTAAAACAAACAAAGGCAGGACTTATACAGTTAAAAGTAGGGCCATGGGTAGTGTTGTGGAACAGAAAAATCTACAGGTTCAGGTACATAATTCTTTGACGTTTCCGTCACATATAGAAAGGGTGGTTAAGAAGGCTTGCTTTCATTGATTAGACCTTTGAGTGGAGTTGGGACGTTATGTTGAGCTTGTACAAGACGTTGTTGAGGCTTCTTCTGGAATATTGTGTCTGGTTCTGGTTGCCCTGCTATAGGAAAAATATTATTAAGCTGGAGAAGGCTCAGAAGAGATTGACCAGAATGTTGCCAGGAATGGAGGATTTGAGTTATAAGGAGAGGCTGGATAGCCTGGGAGCTTTTTCACAGGAGTGAAGGAGGTTGAAGGGTGACCTTATAAAAGGTTTACAACATCATGGGGGGTATAGTTAAGGTGAATGGTAGATAGTGGGGCATTTCAAGACTGGGGGCATATTTTTAATGTGAGAGGAGAAAGATTTTAAAAAAGACATGATGGATATTTTTTTTTACACAGATGTGGTTCATATGTGGAATGCACTTCCAAAGGAAGTGATGGATGTGGGTACAGTTACAACATTTAAAAGACAGTTAGAAAAGTACATGAATAAGAAATGTTTGGAGGGATACTGTCCAAGCACAGGCAATTGGGACTAGATTATTTTGGGATTATAGTTGGCATGGACTGGTTGGGCCAAAGGGTCTGTTTCTGTGCTGTTTTACTCTATGCCTCTAGCAAAATATCCAATACTTTGGTGGAAGGAAGCATTATAGGCCGCTTTAAAGAGGAACCTACATACAGATAAAATTGACTTATTTTTAATTACTCTCATACCATAACACCTTCTGATGGCCTCATGATGGTCCCAATGTAGGACTTAATAAAATCTTAATATTTCAGGCTAGATTCTTAGAATGCATGGAGTTAGTTGTCAAAACTGCAGTTAGAACACTATATTGGTTTCCTTATACTTTTGCAACAGTAGGATAAAGAGCAAAGCTGCCAGAATTTCTGCTATCTCCTGTTAAAAATTTGAGTAGATACTGGTCAGTCTAGAAAGAATTTGACTCAACATTGATAACCCTATGAACAATCAGTTGATGCCAATGTCTTTGGTCTCCACAACAAACTGAGCTACTGCCATCACTCCTCTTTCTGGAAATAATCTGGAGTAAAACCAGATGTATTGCAACATTGATTCCATATTTCTACACCAAAATGATCTCCTGACAACATATCTGCATCATCACTGAGTCACCTATCATTACTTACAATATTGCTTACCTCCACCCCACCTCATCTCATTTGCAAATCAATCCTGTCTGGCCTTCCACACTCTGTCTTCAATAAATTTGAGGTCAATTGAAACAACTGTCAGCGTCCTTAATTGCATTAAATCCTCAACTTCCTTGTGTTCGCTAAGTAATACCTCAATTTTAAAGTTCTCATTCTTGAATTCAAAATTTTCCATTTTGCATCCCTTTGAAACATTTAAATTCCATCCTTATTACCATTTGAGGTATCTGCCCTCTTCTAAGTCTGGCTGCTTTGGCATCCCCAAATTTAACTGCTCCATCTGTCGCCTCCTTTTTGGCTGTTTTGGACCCTAAACACCTGAAATTATCTCCCTTAACCTCTCCTTCTCTTCTGAGGCACTCCATAAAAAAGCTACCTCTTCAACCAGAATTTTGGTTATCAGCCTCAATATCACTTTATGTGGTTCGACATCAAATTTTTATTTATACTTGTGCTTTGAAGTGACTTGGGACATTTAGTTATCTCAAAGCTACTATATAAATTGAAGCTGTTACTGTATTATCTTTGAGGGTCACATGTGGAAAACTCCAATTCAGATTCGCAAGTGAACAGCAATTGCCCTCCACCCAGCATTTATCCAACCACAATCAGAATCCTCAGCCCAGGAAAGGAGAAACTTTTGGTAGAAGTAAAATTCTGTACCAGTTTGTGTGTTATGGGCTCGATGGATTGTATCAATCAATATGATGTATTACCATACTGAATGATTCCTTGCGCTGAAAGATCCCATTTCAGTGTCTGTTTAGGAAGACACTGAGCACAGGTCACATCTTTTTGGAGAAGAGTCCATACATATTCTTTTGGAGGTTAGAAAGGAATAGATGAGTGAACAAAACAACAAGCATGTTAAAGTTTAAGAAACAGGTCATAGAATTAGTTGAGATAACAAAGTGTAGAGCTGAATGAACACAGCAGGCCACGCAGCATCAGAGGAGCAGGAAAGCTGACGTTTCGGGTCTGGACCCTTCTTCAGAAAAGGGTCTGAAATTTTCTGAAGAAGGGTCCAGATCCAAGACGTCAGCTTTCCTGCTCCTCTGATGCTGCCTGGCCTGCTGTGTTCATCCAGCTCTACACCTTGTTATCTCAGATTCTCCAGAATTGGCAGTTCCTACTATCTCATAGAATTAGTTTCCATTTTGATGTTGGAAAAGCATTTGGCTGGAAATTTTAACTTTTGTTTTATCTCTGAAAAATTTGATGAAACAGGTTTTAATCACCACATTCAATTAGGTTCCACACTTCCCCACACGTGTTCAGTACAAACCTTTAGGTGTTCGCTCTGTAAACTCAGGGTCAAAATAAAACGTATCATCTGGCCTGGCCACAGCTGGCTTGAATGGTGGCTTCAGTTCCCTTCGGTAGAGTTTCTAGAAGGATAAGAAACCATTTTAAATACTACAAATCATTACTGACCTGATTTATTATTCTCATTAACTGTTTTGCTACATATTTATGCCTTTGGACAAAGAGTGGAATCCACTTACTCTGCTGGCACTCAGTGCTGAGGCACTGAGCACATCCATGAAAGGAATAGAACTGTCAAATTCAAGTAAATTCCACACTGTTCTACCACAAATTCCCAAGTCATGAATCCATTCATACACTGTGAAGACCAATCTACATTTTCCTTGAAGTATGAAACAATAATTAGACGCAACACACAAGCCACAGTTCCGTCACCAAGCACTTCCAATTCAGACACAGCACTAACCAGATGTTGGATATCATTCCCTCTGCTCTGCATCAACAATGTTTCTGTCCCTAACTGTATGAGTGTAAAAGTTTAATTTTTCCACTCTAGCTGATCTTATTATCTCTTTTAATGAGACAATTTATGCCATGTTACATGTTATTTTGGCTCATGGGCCCACACTCACACGCACTAAAATATCTGACTCAAACTTCCTTTGAATGGAATCCTCCCAACTGTCAGATAAGAAGTTTCTGTTTCATCAGTTTGTATTTATAGGAAACCAGAAGTCAGACCTGAAAAGGCCAGAATTATATTTCCGAGAACGGATTTTTATCAGAAATCGAAGAAGCTTACTCACAATTATATCAAGCAGTTCCATTTGCAATAAACACAAATTATTGGGATTCCTAAAGTATCAATTGGTAGGTTTACGGTGAATACGTTTTAAATTAATGCTGAGAGGTGGCGGCAGGAGAGAGGGAGCTGCCACCATGAGCAGTCACTATGAACCACCATTGTCCAAATGAAAAACTGACTCAAAATGTCTTGATTTCCCAATGATCTTTGGGGGGAAATACTTCCACTGAAATACATTATTGAGTTTTATTATATCATGCCATACTATGCATAGTCAGTGAATGATGTAATTCATGTATTCAAGTACTCACCACTGAAATGAAGAAATTATCTTTAATGAAAATGAAAATAAAATGACTGTCCCAAGGTGGTAAACTCCTGAAGGATCTACTGGTTACTCTCTGAAGTCAAAATATTAGTTTGCCATCTGATAGGATCAACTAAGCTTACCCCTCTCTCAGTTGCTATTAAACAGTTGTGCTGAAATATGACATTTTGACTTTAAGAAACATATTCAAGATCCAGGAATGGATTCCACCACAGCCAGCTGCTTGGATACTTTTGCCTTCTAATTGCACTACATAGTCAAAGAGAATAGCAATGGTTTAACATGAGAAAGGTGGTTTCAAAAGCAGGCCCAACATCACACTGGTTGCCAAAAACAGAAGGATCACTAAGTGGAAAGCACATCAAGTTCTGCATGCAGTACTAGATTGTGAATTCAATTCTGATAAATCCTAGCAATCAAGCCCACTTTCCATATTGTTTTTTGTTGAAGTGTAGTGGGTGACTTAATTATCCAAGAATCTGTCCTTCACTGGAATAAACATTTCTTAGTTTTGCATGGAATCTAGTTTTGTGACGATAATCTACAGCCCACATTGTAATTACATCCCAGGCCATCACAGAAGCCAACCTTCCGTCTATGGCTCAAAGCCACAGAAAGGCTGCTAACATCACCAAAGACCCATCGCAAACAGGTAATTATCTCCTACAACCTCTTCCGTCAGGCAGAAGATACAGAAGCCCGAACATACACACAAGCAGGTTCAGGAACAGCGTCCTCCCAGCCGTTATCAGGCTGATGTGTGGACTCTTTTGCCTCAAATAACGCTGATCTTGATAACGTTAATCTCGCCCAGCAATGTAACCTGTATGCCTCTGTCTAAGTCTTTTTGATCTGTACATTCTTGCTTACTATGATCTGCCTGTACCACTCGTAAGCAAAGCTTTTCACTGTATTTCGGTACACGTGACAATAAATCAATCAGTCAATCAATGACATTAATGTTGATCTGAGGCATTCTCCTGGTTGCTTTCAGTGAGTAGCTGATGAAATTTTGTGTGAAGGCTCCATTAATATGGAATTCTTTGCTACTGACAGGAAATATCTATGCTTGTAACACTTGATATTGTTGACTAGTGGATAATCATTAGAACTTATTGTTTTCATCAGTAATGGACCAATTGACTATTTCAACTTTCCCAGTCTTAGTAACCACACAAAGTGGCAAGAATGAAAAATGTATTTTGTTATCTATGCAGCACCATTAATTTCATCATCCAACCTCCTCAGATACTGAAAGAACTGTGGATGCTGGAAGTTCCAGCACACACAATTCTTTCGGTTTTTACTTAGTATTTAACTCACTGACACATCTCTTCTAGGCATGCATGCTTTGAAGAAGTTCTGCTCCTCTCTCTAACAGGATTTCCATTCCAAACTCTTTTCCCTTGTCCACCATCGCTAATTTCGCTGTCACTCCTTGTGTTTGACGAGGTATTTGCTGAAAATCATATCCTCAGCCACATCACATTCGTCAATGACTGCGTCTGGCTCAGACTCACCCCACATAGATTCCAACTCAAGTTTCTGATGAAGGGTCTAGGCCCGAAACGTCAGCCTCTCTGCTCCTATGATGCTGCTTGGCCTGCTGTGTTCATCCAGCCCTGCACCTTGTTGTCTCGGATTCTCCAGCATCTGCAGTTCCTACTATCTCTGATTCAAGTTTCATCCTTCATGTTTTGAATTCACCCAGGATCATAGGTATCTCTGTGATGTTCAACGTTCCACAGACAGCTGCTCTCACTGCATCGTGAAATCCACACTCAGTGTCATGTGTTGTCATATGAACACTCTTGACTTCTCTCTCCAACAGCCCTGCTTCATGCTGGCCCAGAGCTGCACTGCTCTCCAATTCCATTTCATTCTCCGGTTCATTTAACGTTGCTAACAAGAACCCTTTTCTTTTCTTTTCAGGCATCAAGGAACACAACAACTCAAAGATACTGGAACCTTTCTCCCTTCCCACAGACTCCCGCCCTCTCCTGACTCCACCTCCTGTCGTGTATTCACTATCCCTGCTGACCTTCCGCTCTCCAATGCTGAATGTTCTGTACTCAGCAAAGGTCTCAGTATTATCCCTCTGCATCCCTACCTTAATAAATTTCGGGCATCACATGACATTGAACTCTTCTTCCATCGCCTTTGCCTCCATGTCCATTTCTTTGGGCAAGAGTCCTCTCCCCGTCCCACAAATCCCCTCACCCACCTCCAACACTCTCCCTTCACATGGATGCCTCTTTCTGGCCTTTAATTGCACTCGACCTGTTCATTGAGGCCTGTCAACATGACACTGGTTGCCTCAATTTCTTTGCGCCAACTTCACCCATTTCAACCTATGGCCCAGTGAAATGATTGCACTCCGTGCTCTCAGATCCAACCCTGAGTTTGTAATTAAGCCTGCTGACGAGAGTCGTGCTGTTGTAGTCTGGCGGACTGACGTCTACATTGCAGAGGCTGAGCGCCAGCTCTCAAATACCTCCTCCTTTCGCCCCTGGACCATGACCCCACTTTGGAACATCAGGCCATTGTGTCCACGATGGTCACTAACCTCATGTTAACCTGGTGATCTACCCCCACTGCCTCCAAGCTCATAGACTCCCAACCCCGTACAGCCCACTTCTGCCTCCTTCTCAAAATCCACAAACAGACTGCCCAGGCAGACCCATTGCTTCTTCCTGCTTTTGGCCCAGGGAATTCATCTCTTCCTACCTCAACTCGATTTTTCTCCCCTTGTCCAATCCCTTCCCAATTACATCCATGATTCCTCTGACACTTTATGTCAGTTTCAGAATTTCCAGGTCATGGGCTCTGGCCACCTCATCATTAACATGGATGTGCAATCCCTTCACAAGTCCATCCCCCATCAGGTTAGTCTCAGGGCTCTCTGCTTCTTCCTGGAAAAGAGGCCTGAACCATCCCCATCCACTACTGCCCTCCTCAGCCTGGCTGAACTCATCCTCACCCAGAACAATTTCTCCTTTAACTCCTCTCACGTTCTTCAGGTCAGAGAGGTGGTCATGGGTACCCGGATGAGCTCCAGTTAAGCCTGTCCCTTTATGGGATACGCGTAACATTCTTTGTTCCAGTTCTATTCCGGTCCCCACCCACAACTCTTTGTCTAGTATATCAATGGAATCATCGGTGCTGCTTCCCTCTCTTGTCCAGAATTCATTTCTAATTTCCATCCTACTCTCACCTTCACCTGGTCCCTCCCTTCCTTTCTTCAACATCTCCGTTTCTATTTCTGGGGATTGGTTGGCCATCAATATTCACTAGAAACCAACCAACTTCCACAGTTACTTTGACTATTCATCCTCATACCCTGCTTCTTGTAAACACTCTACTTCATTCTCCCAGCTCCTCCATCTCATCTGTTTTGATGATGCCAACTTCGACAAGGGGACCTCCGAAATATTCACCTTCTTCCTCAACTGAGGATTACCCAACACCGCAGTTGTCAGGGCTCTCAGCTGGGTCCAACCCATCTTCCACACTTCAGCCTTCATCCTTGTCTTCTTTCTCACAAAAGCGGGATGCCACTTCCAGACACATATTCCCCGCCACTCCCCTGTCAGCCTTCCGCAAGGACCATTCCTTCTGGGACATTCTTCCTTCACTCCCAACAGCACCCCCATAGACCCATAGCACTTTCCCCTGAAACTGCAGAATGTGTAACACCTGCCCGTTTTCTTTCACTTTTCTCACTATCCAAGGGCCCAAACACACCTTTTCAGGTTAAGCAGCACTGTACCTGCACTTCACTCAATCTAGTCTACTGCATTCGCTTCTCACAATGTGATCTCCTTACATTGGGGAAACAGCGTAAACTGGGTGACCACTTCACAAAACACCAAAGTTCTGTCCGCAAAACAAACCCTGAGCTTCCAGTTGTCTCTCACTTCAACATATCACCTTGTTCTCTGGCCAACATCCCTGTCTGAGGCTTGCTACAGTGCTTAAGTGAAGCTCAGCACAGGCTGGAAGAACAGCACCTTATTTTCTGCTTGGGAACTCTACAGCCTTCTGGAGTCAATATCAAGTTCAACAATTTTAAGACTTGAGGCACCTGCTCCATGTCCTTGCCCCAACTCCTAAACATCAGACCTTGTTATCACAGAGTCTGCTATTACACACAACCCATTGTCAGCCATTAACAGTCCCCAAAAGTAGCTATTCATTATTATGGGCTAATAGTTATCAACTCTTTTGTTTGTCCAACTGTTCTTCTCTCTCTTTGGGCTTTATCACCACATATCATTTATTCCTTACCCTACTCCTCCTATCATATCTTCTGCATAAAAAAAAACATTTTCCCCGGCTACCATCATTTATAGAGTCATAGAGTTGTAGAGATATACTGCACAGAAACAGACTCTTCAGTCAAACTCGCCCATGCCAACCAGATATCCTAAATTAATTTGGACCCATTTGTCTGTATTTGGCCCATATTCTTCTAAACACTTGCTTTACATGTACACATCTAGATGCTTTTAAATGTTGTACCAGCCTCCACCACTTCCTCTTGTCAGCTCATTCCATACATGCGCCAACCTCTACGTGAAAAAGTTGCCCTTTAGATCCCTTTTAAATCTTTCGCCTCCTACCTTAAACGAATGCCCTGTAGTTTTGGACTCCCCTATCCTGGGGAAAAGACCTTAACTATTCACCCCATCCATGCCGCTGATGATTTTATAAACCGCTATATGGTCACCCCTCAGCCTCCAAACTTCCAGGGAGAAAAGCCCCAGTCTATTCAGCCTCTCCCTATAGCTCAAATCCTCCAATTCCAGCAACATCCTTGTAAATCTTTTCTGAACCCTTTCACGCTTCACAACACCTTTCCTATAGCAGAGAGACCAGAATTAAAAGCACTATTCCATAAGTGTCCTAACCAATCTCCTGTACAGCCATAACATGACCTCCCAACTCCTGTACTCAATTCACTGATCAATAAAGGCAAGCATACCAACGCCTTCTTCACTACCCTCTCTACCTGCGACTTCATTTTCAAGGAACTATAAACCTGCACCCTAGGTCTCTGTTTGGCAACACTCCCCAGGACCTTACAGTTAAGTTATAAGTCCTGCCCTGATTTGCCTGATCAAACTGCAGCATCTCACATCTACCTAAATTAAACTCCATCTGCCACTTCTCAGCCCATTTGCCGATCTGAGTTAACCTTCTTTGTTGTCCACTACACCAGCACTATCTGGAAACTTACCAACCATACTGACTATGATCATATCCAATCATTTACATAAAATGGTAAAAAGCAGTGGACCCAGCACCGATCCTTGTAACACACCACTGGTTACAGGCCTCCAGTCTGAAAATCAAACCTCCACCACCACCCTTTGTCTCTACCTTCATGCCAATTTTGTATCCAATTGGCTAGCTCCCCCTGGATTCCACGTGATCTAACTTTGCTCATCAGGCTACCACGCAAAGCCTTGCTGAATGCCTTGCTGAAGTCCATACAGATAATGCCTTAATCAATCTTCTTCATCACTTCTTCAAAAATTTCAATCAAGTTAGTGAGACATGATTTCCCACACTCAAAGCCATGTTGACTATCCCTAATCAGTCCTTGTCTTTCCAAATACATGTAAATCATCTCCCTCAGAAACCCCTCCAACAACTTACCCACCAGTGACGTCAGGCTCACTGATCTATAGTTCCCTTGCTTTTCCTTACCACTTTTCTTAAATAATGGCACCACATTAGCCAACCTCCAGTCCTCTAGCACCTCAGCTGTGGCTATCGATGATACAAATACCTCACCAAAGGGTTCAGCAATCACTTCCCTAGCTTCCCACAAAGTTCTGGCGTACACCTGATCCGGTTCCCAGGATTTATCATTTATACATTTTAAGATATCCAGCACTTCCTCCTCTGTAATATAGACACTTTTCATGATATAACTACTTTTTCCCCCAAGTTCTCTAGCTTCCACATCCTTCTACACAGTAAACACTGATGCTAAATATTTGTTTTGTATCTCACCCATCTCCTACGGTTCTAGACATATACAGTCTTGTTGATCTTTAAGGGACCCTATTCTCTCCCTAGTTATTCTTTGTCCTTAATGTATTCGTAGAATCTCTTTGGATTCTCTTTAACCCTGTTTGCCAAAGCTACCTCATGTTCTCTTTTTGCCCCCTAATTTCCTTCTCAAGAATACTCCTACTGCCCTTATACTTCTCTAGGGATTCACTCAATCCCAGCTGTTTATACCTGACATATACCTCCTTCTTTTTCTTGACCAAAGCCTCAATTTCTCTAGTCATCCAGCATTCCCTATACCCACCAGCTTTGCCCTTCACACCAACAGGAATATACTGTCTCTGGACTCTTGTTATCTCATTTTTGAAGGCCTCCCACTTTCCAGCCATCCCTTTACCTGTGAATTGCCTCTCCCAATCAACTTTTGAAAGTTCCAACCAACTACCGTCAAAATTGGCTCCCCTATAATTTATAACTTTAACTTTTAGATCATGTCTATCCTTTTCCATAACTATTTTGAAACTAATAGCATTATGATTACTAGCCCCAAAGTGCTCCCCCACTGACACCTCAGTCACTTGCTTTGCCTTATTTCCCAAAATAAGGTCAAGATTTGCTCTTTCTCTTGTAAATACATTCACATACTGAATAAGAAAATGTTCTTGTTCACACTTAACAAATTCCTTTCCATCCAAACCCTTCACACTATGGCAGTCCCAGTCTATTGTGGAAAGTTAAAATCTCCTATCATTCCAACCATATTATTCTTACAAATAACTGAGATTTCCTCACAAATTTCCTTCTCAATTTCCCACTGACTACTGGGGGTCTATAGTACAATCCCAATAAGGTGATCCATCCATTTCTTATTTCTCAGTTCCACCTAAATAACTTCATTGGACATACTCCCCAGAATACCCTCTGTAAGTATGGCCGTAACGTTATCCCTAACGCAATCCCTAAACCTAACCTAAGCCACATCCTTTCATCTCTTGCCTCTCTTTTTATCCTTCCTATAGCATCTATACTCTGGAACATTAAGCTGCCAGTCCTGACCATCCTTGAGTCATGTTTCTTCTGATGAAGAACCACGGGACCTGAAACATTAACTTTGATTTCTCTCCATAGATACTGCCAGGCCTGCTGAGCTTTTCCAGCAATTTCGGATTTTGCTCCTCAGATACAGTCAGTGTTCATATGCAATTAGGCCTGGACACTCAGGATTGGGCTGATAAGTGGCAAGTAAACTTCATGCTGCACAAGTACCAGGCAATGATCATCCTCAATGAGAGAATCTAACCATTTAACAGCATGACCATTACTGAATACCCATCCATCACCATGCAGGGTTGCCAGTTACCTGATTGTTAAGTGGACCATCATACAAGAGCAGGTCCCCTCTCAACTCTCCAATGCCTGTCCACTGTCTATAAAGCAGAAGTGAGGAGTGTGTTTGAATGTTCTCCACACGCCTGAAATCAATGAAGCTCCAGTAAACCCTAAAAGTTCAACAGCATCAAGGACAAATCAGCCCACTTGATTTGTCACTCTACCTACCACCTTATACATTCACTCCCTCCATCACTGGCTCAGTGTTTTACTGACACCCGAAAAAGGAGTGCAACTCCGAAAGCTTGTGTCTTCAAATAAAACTGATGGACTATAACCTGGTGTTTTGTGATTTTTGAACTTGTCCACCCCAGTCCAACACCGGCACTTCCACATCATGGCTCAGTGTTAGCAGGCCCTTTCAAGCTCACAAACTCTAACACCTAGGACGATCAGATAACTCATGCTAGAAAACACCACCATCTGCAATGACCCCTCAAAACCAAGCACCATTATGTTAAAGAAATATATTGCTGTCCCTTCACTGTTGCCAGATCAGAATCCTTATCAGTGATGTGGGTATACTTGCACTCGGTGGACAGCAGTGCAAGACAGCAGTTCATTAATACCTATTCAAATGAAATGAGGCATTGTCGACAAATTTTGGTCATCTCACACATTGGTTTGATGAAAGAATAAAATAAGTGTTCTGAAGAAATCCTTTTAAGATTACACGTACTCTGCTATAGAAATCAATAGGGTAGCCCTCACACAAAGAACATTTCACTTGGCTGTGCACTTCACGTGCCTTTATTGCAAAATTGGATTGCAGTATTTCAAGAAGGAAGCTCATCACTGCCTTTTTAGAAGCAACTATGGATGGGCAATAGATCATGATCCAGCCAGCCATGCCCAGATCCCATGTGTGAGTTAAAACAAATTCTGATCCCTGAACTAGCAAAATTCACCATTTTTCTTCCATGTCCAATCCAGTGCTTCAGAAATTATAGAAGAGATTTTGTCTGAATTTCACCATTAATTATTGGCACTTACGTTCCAATCTATGTTTGTGAAGAATGGTTGACGCTTGATTTCCTCTACACCATCCACACCAGCTCCTAAAAAAAATGGAAAATTTAAAGTTGCAATGGTCAAGTGTCAGTATGCTTCTTTAACACTCTTTCAACCTTTCATCGATCATTACCTGACAAACCCAATATAATCCACCCAAAACAATGGGCTGATTTTAGGGCTACCTGCTATTAGGAAGCCTATGAGGTGAATTGATTGCTGATGGCTCAGTTAAGGTCCTTAAGTGAGCAACTAACTTCCACTTAAGGGCCTCATCTCACCACACGTGATCAAAGTTTCCACTTTTATTTCAAGTATTATTCCAAGTGTGCTGCTAACCAGTGAAAGAGGGAATGCTTCTGGGGTTCCTGTTGTCAAGTGGAGGCAACTAGCACCCTCACAGTTTTCCTTCCCCATGTTCACACTCACCTCAATTCTGTCCAACGTGCACCTTCAACTCCCTTGCTCCAAAAATAATGCATTTATGGTTCCTGCCAGGCACGCAAAACTTTCCATATGTATTGTTTCTCAAGTGATGCAGAGAACACACTGCAAAACTTTACCAGAATTAAATATACCTCATTTTAAATGAAGAATTACTATCTGCTTCCACCACAATGGCTAAGTTGTTCCGATATTGGTGGCTGGTCCTTCAGCTGCCATGATTCTAACCTCTAGAATTCCTTCCTAAACCTATTTGGCATCTTTCCCTTTTTTAATGATCCTTAAAACAAATCTCTTTAATCATGTTTTTGGTCATCTGTCCAAATGTCTGATATGGCCCAGTGTCAACGTTTTGTTTAATCTTGCCCACTGTAGTAGTTTTGGGCATTTTACTGTGTTAAGTGTGCTACATAAATGCAAGTTGTGTGAAGAAATAGAAAGTTGTATATTGAAACTTTCAGGCAACGCTGAAGTTGAAGGAACATACAAGTTATCTAGACGGGGCGAATGTTGTAAAAGAATATAGGCAACTTAATTAAGTGACTAAAACGTGGTGGGTGCAGTCTAATGTGGGAAGTGTCACTTCAACCAGTTTAGATCCAAGAAAGATATAATGGATTATTTTTAATGCCAAGAGATTAGGAATTTTGCAAAAGCAAAGGTTTTAGTGTAACCAAGTGCACATAAATGGTCCACAGTAATCAAGGTCAATGGAATGTTTGACTCTCAAGAAAATTAGAATACAAAGACAGGCAAGTTTTACCTCACATGTCCAGAACCTCACTGAAATCCCACTTGGAGCACCAAGATCAATATGGTAAATCTTTCCTGAACTACTTCCAAGTCAACTATATCCTTCCTCAGGTAAGGAGATCAAAACTGCACAATTGTAAACAGACTTTATACTCCTGTACTCCAGTTCATTTGCAATAAAAATCAGCATTTGCCTTCCGCACTGCTTCCTGTTTCCAGACATACTAACATTCTGAGGTTATTATTGAGAACACTCAAGTTCAATGAATGTTTAAAGTTCATAAGTTTGTTCATTGAATGTGGGTGTTGTTGGCTAGGCCAGCATTTATTGTTCAGTCATAATTGCTACAGTGAAGGGATTGGCAATACAGTTCAAAGTCAGGATAGTGTGGAGCTTGGAGTGGAATTTTCAGGCTGTAATGAGGTCAGGAGCTGAGTGGCCTGGGAGGAACCTAAATTTAGTGTTAATGAGCTGGTTATTGCCAAGAAAATGCTGCCTAATAGCATGGAAACAGGAGAATTTGTGTTGCAACATCAGATTTAAAAGTATCTGTAATCAGCATCTATTCAGTAGCCTGATCAGCCAAGTCGTATTCAGTGGTTACCTAGTCTGTTGGCAGGATTTCTCTTGAAAAGTGCTCGCAACAAACTTTGGGCTTCAGGACTCAAGAATTGAGGCATTCCCAATTTAGCCCTAGAAAAAGAATTTGCATACAGTTAAATACTATACAAATCATAGAATCCTTACAGTATGGAAGCAGGCCATTCAGCCTATCAGTCCGCACTGACCCTCTGAAAGCATCCTACCCAGACCAACCCCCCTACCCTATCCCTGTCGACCGGCATTTTCCATGGCTAATCCATCTAACCTGCACATCTTTGGACTGAGGAAACCCGCACCGACGTGGGGAGAATGTGCAAACTCCACACAGGATGGAATCAAACCCAGGTCCCTAGCGCTGTGAGGTAGCAGTGCTAACCACTAAGCCGCTGTGCCGCCCAATGTCTGAACCTTCCCAAGACTTTCCTCCATAACGACCATGAAAAATCCAAATAAAACAGAATTGTTATTTAATGTATCAATGAATTAATTAGTTAAAGAACTTACAATTTTATACTTCTTCCTGTTCTAGAGAATTCCTTAGATTGACAGGTGTTTACACCTTCGCACACAATAATAATTCAAGATGTCATTACATTATAGACAGATCACTAATGGAATTTTTATTCTATGGCAATTTTTGAGAAGTCCAATGTATAAAACAGATTTCTGTAAGCAGGATGACACTGAGCTATTTAACACACTGCAGATACATTGATGACACACAGCAAAAATCAAAGATGCCACCTGAAAACACTATGCTGATATTTCAACTATGATCACTTGATAATGTAATTCACCAAAGTCAGGAATCATACTGGATCATATAGAGCTTGTTTTAGCTTTTTTGAATGTTTAAAACAGATTGGCATAGGAGATAGTTTAACTTTGTAATTCTGAAATAAGCTATTTTATTTTGTTGAAGCAATGATGAAAGAGTTAGGTATGAAGGATTGAGGATCCACTGTGGTTCATTTGGTAGTACTCTGGCCTCTTAATCACAAGGCTCTGGGTTTAAGAATCAGGCTGACATTGCAGTGCAGGACTGAGCGAGTACTGGACTGTCATAGATATCATCTTTCAGTTAAAATGTTAAACTAAGGTCCCTTCTGCTTGCTTAGGTGGATATAAAAGATCTGATGGCACTAGTTGAAGAACAATAAAGGGAATTTAAAGTTTTGTCAAAGATATGTAGCTCGGGTTGTGAATGAGGTTGTTGACTTGCTCGCCGAGCTGGCTTGTTTTTGTTCAGACGTTTCACCACCATGCTAGGTGACATCATCAGTGGGGCCTCCGATGAAGTGATGTTATTCTACTCCACTTGGAATTTACACTGTCCAGTCCGTTATGGTGAGTACTGTGATTTCTGGTTTTGATCCGAATGGGTTTCTATATGGGGTCCAATTCTATATGTTTGCTGATTGAAATATAGGTGGAGAACCATGCCTCTAGGAATTCCCGTGCGTGCCTATATTTGGTTTGGCTACTATGATTACTTTGTCCCAGTTAAATTGATGGCCTTCATTGTCTGAATGTACCGATATTAAGGAAAGTTCATCATGCTGTTTTGCTGCTAGCTGACGTTCATGTATTTTGATGGCTAGTTTCCTTCCTGTCTGTCCGATGTAATGTTTGTTGCAGTCATTGCGTCGTATTTTATAAAGCACGTTCATTCTGCATGTTGTGGGAATGGGGCCCTTAATCCTTGTAAGTGTTGGCATAGAGTGGCTGTGGGCTTGTGGGCCACCACGATTCCTAGTGGTCTTAGGAGTCTTGTTGTCAGTTCCAGTACGGAAAAAACGGCACGACAAATTCTCCACCCATACTTCAATCAAAAACATATAGAATTGGACCCCATACACAAACCCATACAGATCAAAACTGCAAATGACACAACTCACCATAATGATCCGGACAGTATAAATTCCAAGCGTAGTAGAATAACATCGTTTCATCAGAAGCTCCGCTGATGATGCCACCTAGCATGGTGACGAAACGTCTGAACAAAAACAAGCCAGCTCGGCAAGCAAGTCAACAACCTCAATAAAGGGAATTTTTCTCCACTGTCCTGGCCAATATCTATCCTTAAACAACATCACAAATAAACAGATTATTTGGTCATTATCACACTGTTAACCACATTCAAAAATGTTAGCAGAATACGGGTATTGGGCTGTGAAGCTGACACAAACAAGTAGGAAGGTGCAAGAAGCAGGAATTTTTTACGCAATTGTTGGACGAGGCAGAAGAAACTCAATGGCCCATCTTGTCCTGTGCATTAAAAGGCTCAATGGTTGACTTGAATGAAGAGAATATTTCTTATCAACAGATTAGCTTTTTCCTCAATAGATCTACCTTAACGAGTTAACATTCAACGTTGTAGAATAAGTATCAGCAGCAAGCTAAATTACAGCCATACTGTCAACATTAAGCCAGGCTATCATCTTACTTTAGAATGAGCGTCATCGTCTCTTTCCTATCCTTCCCTTGGAATGGCAGAGAACCCGTCAACATCTCAAACTGTCAAGAAACAGGGGAGAAACAGAAACATTTCACAAAAGATCAGAAGTTAAACATTAAACTCCTCATTACAAAAGAGTACACTCTTCACAAAAATAACATACATAAATATTAAGCAGCCTTCATGTTCATCGAAAGAAACTCAGTGTGGAAATTTGAAGATTGCATTAAGCACTAGTGGAATTTAAGTGATGGAAATGAACTTGAGATGCCAATTTCTCAATCTCACCTTATGTCACAGGTCTCCTGGTAAGATGTAGTAAGTTGCCAAAGACAAACTTTCCTCACAATTTAGTTACAGTGTCCTTGTGACTTGTATGTATTAGATTGGAATATAATTCAAGGGGAGTGGGGAGGGGATGAGAATGTAAAATTACACAGGAGCAAGCAGTGGCCCTAAATAAACATACATACCATTAAGACACCATAGGACCACCAATCAGCACTGTGTGTATGGCCACGTCGATTAACCACCTCAGGAGCCATATACTCAACAGTTCCACAAAACGAATAGGCCTTCTTCTCATGGTCAACAGCTTCCTTGCTCAATCCAAAGTCTTAAAAGAGTAATACAACCAAATTTAATCAGACTTACAACAGACAACAGTTCAGTCCACCTGGCTGATTCACTTCAACACTATCATTATTAATTAGCTTTAATTTAACAAAACCATCACAACCAACAATAGTAGACAAGGGCTTTCTTTTAAAGGAAAAACAAAGAAGGAGTTTGAGAGTGATGCTAAGGAGGAGCTAAACAGATAACAATTCAGAATCAGAGAACCAAAGATTATCATACATTGTAAAGGGCTGAAGATTACATAAATAAGGGAGGCATGGCTGTGTGGGAAATTTTGTTTTTATATTCATCTGTGGGATAGAAGTGTTCCTGGCTAGGAACTATTATCTATCCTTAACTACACTGGCGAAGGCGGTGGGAGCTGCCTTCTTATATTACTGCAGACCTTAGGGTTTAGAGACACCCTCAGTACAATTAGGAAGGGCATTTTGGGATTTTGACCCAGCAACCTTAAAGGAACTGTGGAAGTTGAGATTAAAACATTGAATGTTTTCAAGGAGTTAGATATAACTCTTAGGACTAAAGGGGAGAACGTGGGAACAGAGTACTGATTTGAATCATCAGCAATGAACATACTGAATAGCAGAGCAGACTTGAATGCCCCACTCCTGCTCCAATTTCTATGTTTCTCAGAACAGTGATATGGTTCCAAGTCAGAATAGTGTGTGGCTTGGAGGGGAACCTGCAGGGGATGGTGTTCCCATGCATTGGTTGCCCTTGTCATTCTAGGGGGTAAAGGTGACAAGTTTGGAAGGTGCTGAAGGAGCAGCTAGATGGAGGAGTGTTCAGGTGAGAGCTCCACTGTTCTTTTATAAAATAGTACCATGAGAATCATTCATTTCAATCTGAGAACACAAATATGATGTTGGTTTAAAGCCTCATCCAAAAGACAAAAGTCAATTGTACAGTATGAAAAGACAAAGCACATTACACATAGGTTAGGTGTTAGAACTGTGTGTAGTGTAGCAAGGGAAAGTTGGAAACAACGTTAGAAAATATAGAGTTTGCAGTATTTGACGGTGAATTTGTAATCTACTTCTAGCAGTTTGAGTGATAAATCATCATTGGATAACCTGTTTTTTGCCACTCACCAGTTAACTTAATGTGCCCTTCTTCATCCAGCAGAATACTGAGAAAGGGGAAATAAATCAAATTAGTTAGGGAAAAGACAACATATCACAGTAGTAATCTGATGTTGCAGAAAATGACAATTTTATATGAAGGATATGGTTCAGGGAATCTCATTGGTGTCAGTTCATTTTCATTGACCTTCAAGACAGCAGAGACTCTTGATGTGTGTAATCTGGGGTGTAGTGATTGTAATAAGGTCAGCCAGATGGACCTCATAGAATATGAGTTCCCTGACTGGCGCTGTTAACCTGATCCAAACAGGGAGCCCTGGCTGACAGATAAGAACTGGAGTGTCAGACATCCTATTCACTCTGAGAACTGGCACTAAGGAAGCTGGATCACTGTCAAGGACTCTTCACGTGTAAATATAGGGCAACGTGGTGAGAGGATACTGCCTCTGCGGAGTTATTTCAGTGGTGCCAAGAGTGGGATTAAAGATGTAACTGCGAAAGCATCTACGAGCTGAAGCCCAACTAGATTTCAAACAGGCAGTACAACTGGTTTTAACATCGGAAAATGTGGCAAGTGGAGCATGTGGCTGCAGGGTATTCCAACGGAAGTCGACACCCTTGCCAGTCCGACTGAGCTGTGGAACACCACTTGAGTGAAGGCAATTGCATAGCCTAATTCAAGACATCTCCTGAACAGAGGGACTCTATGTCAGCCCATAACAAACGCCCCAAAAAAAGCCAAGCTTTGGCCAAACGGTTAAAATTTTCTTCAGGATCTGGACGAGCAAGCCATTGTAGTTGCTGCCAGTATGCGGACTCCAGTCAGCAAAAGAGTCCCACTAGACCTAAACTGAATAACAGAACTCATAGGCTGGTATCCAGGACAGTACACGCCCTGGAAAGACCACCCTGGTTTGGAATAGTTAAATTGATTAGCAACGTCCAAATCAGAACCAATCCAAATAAATATCAGGTTAAATAGTCATCCAGTTCTAATGGAGGTTGATACCAGTGTTGTTGTTTCTGTGATCACAGAACCAGTCTTTATCAAAACTCAATCTGGACTCCAACCCTTGAGTTTGCACAAGATCTTGGCTAGACTGAAAACCTATACCGGGGAACCTTTACAGATTGAGGGTACAACTTCGACTCTGGTCTCTTCTGAGAAGCAGCTGGTTCAGTTTCCATTAACTATAGTAAAAGGTTTGGACTCAGCCTTGACGGAGTGAAATTAGTTGAGAAAGAGTCACCTAGATTGCCTCAACATTTTTTAATCAGAAAATGGCTGCCTGAATGAAGTCCTAATTAAATACCCAAATGTTTTTCAGGAAGCTATAGGGACTATCAAAGAAGCCAAGGCCACCATGCATGTTGACCAGAAAGCAATTCCAAGGCTCTGCAGGGTTCACCCAGTGCCATTTGCCTTACGGACAAAAGTAGTGGCAGAAATCAGAAGGTGAGACAGGGAAGGAATCATCAAAACCAGTCCAGTTTGCAGAATGGGCAGCACCGATTGTACCAATTTTGAAGGCTGACGGGTCAGTTCACCTTTATGAGGATTTTAAACAAACACTAAGCCAATTTTTGCAGCTGGATAAATTCCCAGTCCCTCACACAGAGGATTTATACGCAAAGCTGGCAGGGAGGTCTGTCCTTCATAAAGCTGGACAAGGATGCCCAGAAGTATGCTACAATTAATACCCATAAGGGTTTGTACCAATATACAAGACCGCCATTTGAAGTGTCATCAGCCTGCGCTATTTTTCAGCACACAATGGAGAACATTTTACAAGGTCTACTCCAGGTCACCATTTATCTAGATGACATGCTAACAACAGACATGACCAATAAGGAGCACTTAGAGAACTTGGACATAGTCCTTAGATGTTTCTCCCAGGCAGGCATATGCCTTAGAAGGGAAAAATGTGTTCCAGGCACTCCAAGTGACCTACTTGGGCTACAGAGTTGATAAAACCGGGTTGCACCCATTGGAAGAAAAAGTCATGAGGATCAATGGTGCCCAAGCTTGCACATCTGTAATACAGCTTAGGTCTTTCCTTGGGCTGGTGAATTATTACGGAAAGGTCATACAAAAACTAGCCTCCTCCTGGCACCTTTGCATCAACTCTTAAAAATGGGTCAGACTTAGAAATGGCCACATAGCCAAGCCATATCCTTCAGAGAACTGGAGAAACAGCTATCATCCTTTAAGGTGTTGGCACATTACGATCCCAAGCAAGATCTGGTATTGACATACCACATCTCCCCTTATGGTATCAGGGTACTATTAGCTCATAGGTGGCCCAAAGGGGAGGAATGCCTAACAGCGTATGTGTCCAGAACTTCAGCTAATGCAGAGCGTAATTATGCCCAGATAGAGAAGGAAGGTTTAGCACTCATATTTGGAGTCAGAAATTTCCACCAATATCTTTCCAGATGCAACTAATAATAACAGACCACAAACCCCTGCCAGGTCTACTGAAAGAAGACAAGGCAGTGCCATCCATAGCTTCAGGCGGAATCCAGTGGTGGGCTCTAATACTAAGTGAATGCAATTGCTAGTTGGAACACTGTGAGGCCAAGTAAAAAATGCGGATGCATTGAGCCGCCTCCGGCTGGCAGATACACCACCGCGGGTACCACCACTGGAAGAGTCCATAACGGTTTTAAATTTTCTGGATATACTTCCAGTCACAGCTGACAATATCAAACTTTGGCCACAAAAAGATCTGGTCGTGGCAAAACTGATACAGCTGGTGGTGATGGGAGAAACCAAAGGGCTGTCACAACCAGAATTGAAACCTTTTTGGACCTGGAGAGACCAGATAACAGGACAGGACAGCATATTATTATGGGGGACAAGAGTGATTGTCCTGAGCAAAGGTTGCTGCCAGATCCTGGCTGAACTCCACCAGGGTCATCCAGGGGTTTCCAAAATGAAGATGTTGGCGAGAATTTTTCATAGAATCCACAGAATCCCTCCAGTATGGAAACAGGCCATTTGGTCCAAAAAGTCTATACCAACCCTCGAAAGAGCATCCAATTCTGACCCATCTCCCTATCCTATATTTCCCATGGCTAACGCACCTAACCCACACATCCCCAGATACTACGGGACAATTTAGCATGGTAAATCCACCTATCTTGCACATCTTTGGACTGTGGGAGGAAACCCACACAGACACGGGGAGAATGTGCAAACTCCACACAGACAGTTGCCCGAGGATGGAATTGAACCTGGGTCCCCGGTGCTGAGGTAACAGTGGTAATCACTGAGCCATCGTGCTGCCTGTTTGAGAAGTTATGTCAATCAGCCAGGATTGGATTCAGACATAGCCACATTACTGGGGCAGTGCCCGGACTGTCAATAAGGATAAAAAATACCTCCAGCAACTCCCCCACATTCTTGGGAATGGCCCTGGACTCAGTTACATGTCGACTATGCAGGTCCTTTCATGGGCTCAATATTCTTAGTCATTGTGGATGCCCATTCAAAGTGGCAGGACATGCATAGAGTTCATTCATCAAACACAGAGACAATGATAGAAAAACTGCACGCATCCTTTGCAATACACAGACCCCTGGAAGTGTTGGTCACAGATAACAGGCCAGCGTTTACCAGCAGGGAATTTGAGGATTTCCTAAAGTCGAATGGTATGCGACATATAAGGACAGCTCCATACCATCCATCATTCAATGGTCTGGAAAAAAGAGCAATCCAAACTTTGAAGGCAGGCTTGAAGAAACAGCCTACTGCTTCACTAGATACCAAACAATCCTGGTTCCTATTTGATAATAGGACCACCCCTCATGTAACTACAGGGATAGCTCCAGCAGAGTTGCTAATGGGGAGAAAACTCTGCACCAGGTTAAATCTGATCTTTCTGGATCTGGAGGGAGGGTGAAACAGAACCAGGAATGCCAATACCGGGCACAAGACTCCACTAAATGAGAGAGACGGTTTACTTCAGGGGATGAAGTTTGGTGTACGAATCATGGGAAGGGCCCTGCATGGATCAGAGGCATGATCGATGCGAGGTCAGGTCAAGAGACGTATAAAGTTCGGATAGTGCAACGGTCACGACCTAGCACGTGAATCATATGAAAGCTGCAAACTTGCAAAAGGTGCGGGAGCAAAACATGCCCGGCTCCTCGACAGCCTTCCTGACTGCTCTGGAACCCATGGGCTCTCCCTCTCAGTCAAGCATTGAAGATACCTCAGAATGTGAGATGAGGACACCGGATATTGCCGCCTGAAGAAGAGTATGAATTTCTTCTGAAAAGTTCCGGGTAAAAGAGACAAGCTATGTGCGTTACACGCTGCCTGTATCAGAGGCAGAGTTAAAGGAACCTGACCAGTGCTAAAACACCCCAGGATGAGCTACAAAAAAAGGAACAGGCCTTTGTCCTCAGACTCAGAGTGGGAGGGATGTAGTGATTGTAACGAGGTTAGCCAGGTGGACCTCAGGAAATATGAGTTCTCTGATTGGGGCTGTTAATCTGGTCCAGTCAGGGAGCCCTGGCTGACAGATAAGAACAGGAGTGTCAGACATCTTGTTCACTCTGAAAACTGGCTCTGATGGAGCTGAATCAGTATCAAGGATTCTCCATGTGTAAATAAAGGGTGATTTGGTGACAGGATACCAGCTTCTGTGGAGTTATTTCAAAGGCCATACTTGAAATGCTGATGATGTAATTAGACCTGAAAAATGATTGTAACATTTAGTCAAGGGGAGTTTCACACTGCTTGCAACCTACCAATAAGAAGACGACCTGAATGACCAGATGAAGTCATGGTATGTGTCAAAAAATAACTTCAGATTCTCTTATTGTCTAGAAGAAGCATGAATGCCTTATCAAGGAGCCCAGTGGCCTCCCCAGTCTCCACCCCATTCAATCAGTAAATACCCTATTCTCCGTATCCCTCTCTGATCCCTGAAGCCACTCGGAAATCCAACACACACCGACCTACCCATCTACCTAACAGCAGCTAGCAACCCCACAGTATATTTATTCGTTTTTTTGGTTGTTTTCCCAGGGGTGCCACTGACAAGCACTTAAATTCACTAAACCTCTTTATAAAAATGACAAAAAGAAAGTAATCTTCTATCAAATAATTTTAAAACCCGCATCAAATTAAAACTTGCAATATGGATTCCAAGCCAGAGATGAGCTGTTATTACCCATGCTAAATCATATACAGCCACAGATTCATAGAATCATACAATGGAAACAGACTCTTCAGTCCAACTCATCTGTGCTGACCAGACATCCCAATCTATCCTAGTCATATTTAGGAGCATTTGGCCCATATCCCTCTAAACCCTTCCAATCCATATACCCATCCAGATGCCTTTTAAATGCTGTAATTGTACCTGCCTCTACCACTTCCTTTGGCAACTCGTTCCACCCTCTGCATGAAAATGTTATCCTTCAGGTCCTTTTTAAATCGTTCTGCTCTCGCCTTAAACCTATGCCCCCTAGTTTTGGACTCTCCCACCCTAGAAAAAAGACCTTGGAATTCACCCCATCCACGTCCATCATGATTTTATAAATCACTGTAAGGTTACCCCCGAGCCTCCAACAGAGGGAAAATAGACCCAGCCTGTTCAGCCTCTCCCAAAAACTCAAACCCTCCATTAACCACTATGATCTGCAAAACTGAGGACAGAGAACAGTTTACACACTAACAGGTGTCATTGTTCTCTGTTCAATAATCATGGGCTCAATGTTTGCACTTATCCTGGGTGCTTCAGTTTCTATCTCTTTACATTTAGTTGACTAAAGGATGAGCAAAATGAGTGATTCTGAACACAATCATGTCCAACAGATTTCATTACAGTATATTTTTAAATTTAATCCACACTTGCATACACTAAGTTTGCAGAAGTAGTGCAACAGTCTAATCATCCAACACCTACTTTTCTGGTTTCAGGTCTCTATAAATGATTCCAAAACCGTGAAGATGGTCCAAGGCTAAAGCCAACTCTGCCAAATATATCTTAACATCCTCTTCTGTGAACATCACCTTTGAGGAAAAGAGTGAAATGGACAGGATAACTGCTCGTCGTTTCATCAATAAGCTACTACTGATCTTATGAGAATTGGTGAACAAGGTACACGTGATATCACAGCACAGTCTCTTTGGAAACTGAGAAATCAGAACAAAGTGCTTTCTTTAATTCTGCACGCAAGAAATCTATGGTGCAGATGGTATTTTTTTCTATTTTTTCCATCTGACTAAAAATTAATCCAAGTTCCAGAGTTCAATCCAATTTTAAATTTTTGAATTTTATTTTTTCACTTTTTAAAGAAGAGCATATTTAATTAGCAATAACGGCAATAAAAACAGTGCTCTCGGTACTCAGTGCTCCAACTGAAAATAAAATAGCAGCAGGAATAGACTGACTATCCAGCAAATAAGATCAGTAAATCAGCGAGCATGGAAGGGTCAGGAATCTAACTTCAGGCGCAGCAGATAAGGGACATCTATGAGAAAGGAGCCCAGTCAATTAAGGACTGAAGATGTTTGAATTAAACGCATGCAATATGCAAAATAAGGTGAATGAGCTTGTAGCACAGAATAAAATTGGCAGGCATGATGTTGTGGATATCATAGAGTCGTGGCTGCAAGGGGATCAGGGCTGGGAATTGAATATCCAAAGATACACATTCTATCGAAAGATCAGGCAGATGTGCAGAGGGGCGGAGCTACCTTGTTAGTAAGAAATGAAATCAAATTGATAGCAAGAAGTGAAATAGAGTCGGAAGGTGTAGAATCTGTGTGGGTAGAGTTGAGAAACTGCAGAGAAGATCCCAATGGGAGTTATGTATAGGCCTCCTAAAAATGGTCAAGATGTGGGGAAGAAAATAAATCAGAGACAGAAAAGGGTGACTTCGATATGCAGGTGCATTGGGAAAATCAGGCTTGGTAATGGATCTCGAAAAAGGAATTTGTGAAATGTCAATGAAATGGATTTTTTTAGGGCAGCTTGTAGTTGAGCCCATTAGGGAACAGGCAGTTCTGGATTTGGTGATGCATAATGAAACAGACTTGATTAGAGAGCTTAAGGTGAAGGAACCCCTAGGGTCAGATCATAAGATCATTGAATTCACCCTGCAGCTTGACATGGAGAAGCTGGAATCAGATGTAACAGAGTAAAGGTAACTGCAAAGATGTGAGGAAGGAACTGGCCAGAGTTGACTGGAATGGGAGCCTAGCGAGGAAGATAGAGGAACAACAATGACAGCATTTCTGGGAGTAGTTTGGAAGGCACAGCAGAGATTCATCCCATGGAGGAAGAAACATACTGCAGAGAGAATAAGGCAACCATGGCAAACGACAGAAGTCAGGGACAGCATAAAAGCAAAGGCAAAATCATACAAAGTGATGATGAAGATTATTGGGAAGCCAGAGAAATGGGAAGCCTTTAGAAACCAGCAGAGGATAACTAAAAAAGCAATGAAGGGGAAGAAGATGAAATATGAGGGTGAGCTTGCTCATAATATAAATAAAGATTGCAAGAGTTTTTTAGACATAGAAAAAGGGAATAGAGATGCAAAAGTGGACATTGGACTGCTGGAAAATGAGCCTGGTAAAGTAGTAATGGGAAATAAAGAAATGGCAGAGGAACTGAATAAGTACTTTGCATCTGTTTTCTCAGCGAAAGACACCAGCAGCATAACAGAACTTCATGTGAGTCAGGATGAGTGTTGTGGCCATTATTAAAGAGAAGGTAGTGGGGCAGCTGAAAGGGCTAAAAATGGCTAAATAACTTTGACCAGATGGACTACACCCAAAGTTCTGAAGGAGATAGCTGAGGAGATTATACACGCATTGGTGGTGATCTTTCAGGAATCACTGGAGTCAGGGAGGGTCTGAGTGGACTGGAAAGTGGCTAATCTAGCACCCCTGCTTAAGAAGAGAAGGAGCAGAAAGCGGGAAACTATAGTCCGGTTAGCATGACCTTGGTCGTTGGTAAGATTTTAGGGTCCATTATTAAGGATACAATTGCAGTGTACTTGGAGCTGCATTGTAAAATAGGGCTAATCAGCACAACTTCGTCAAGGGGATATCATGCCTGTGAAACTTGTTAAAATTCTTTGAAGAGGTAATGAGCAAGTTAGACAAAGGAGAACCAGTGGACATGATCTATTTGGATTTCCAGAAGCCTTTGACAAGGTGCCGCATAGTAGGCTGCTAATAAAGGTAAGAGCCCGTGGTGTTAGGGACAAGGTATGGATAAAGGACTGGCAGTGTGGCAGAAGGCAGAGAGTGGTGATAAAGGTGTCTTTTTCAGGTTGGCAGCCGGTGACTAGCTGAATTCCACAGGGGTCCATGTTGGGACGAAGGAACTGAGGGCATTGTCACTAAATTTGCAGATGACATAAACATAGGTGGAGGGGCAGTAGTGTGAGGAAGCGGGGAGCTGCAGAAGGACTTGGACAGGCTAGGGGAGTGGACAAAGAAGTGGCAGATGGAATACAATGTGGGAAAGTGTGAGGTTATGCACTTAGGTAGGACAAATAGAGGCATAAACTATTTTCTAAATGGGGAAAGGTTTCGGAAATCTGAAGCACAAGGGGACTTATGAGTCCTTGTTCAGGATTCCCTTAGGGCTAATATACAAGTTCAGCTGGCAGCTAGGAAGGCAAATGCAATGTCAGTTTTCATTTTAAGCGGACTGGAATCCAACAGCAGAGATGTACTGCTGAAGCAGAATAAGACTCTGGTCAGACCACATTTGGAATATTATGAGCAGTTTTGGCCCACATATCGAAGAAAGGATGCGCTGGCTCTGAAGAGGGTCCAGAGGAGGTTTACAAGGATGATCCCAGGAACGAAGCATTTGTCTTATGAGGAGTGGTTGAGGACTCTGGGTCTTTACTTGATGGAGTATAGAAGGACGAGGGGATTCTCATTGAAACTTACAGAATGCTGAGAGACCTGGATACAGTAGACATGGAGATGAGTAGGAGAGACTAAGACCCAAAGGCACCGCTCAGAGTGAAGAAACAACTCTTTAGAACTGAGATGAGAAGAAATTCCTTCAGCCAGAGGGTGGTGAATCTGTAGAACTCATTGCGACAGAAGGCTGTGGAGGCCATGTAGTTGAGTGTATTTAAGACAGAAGTAGATAGTTTCTTGATTGATAAGGGTTCAGGGGTTAGCAAGAGAAGGTAGAAGAATGGAGTTGAGTGGGGTTGAGAAACATATCAGCCACAATCAAATAGCAGAGCAGACTTGATGGGCTGAAAGGTCTAACTCTGCTCTTACATCTTATGGTCTTACAAACTTAGGGGTAATGCAGTGAGATCTCACCAATACAGAGCAAACTGTACTCTTAATTGTATTTTCCCTCTGCATTTCAAATCACCTTTACACAACATTCACTGTATTGCTGTTAACTGGGCAATTTATCACACTAGAGACAAAAGAATATGAAGCAGACCTCTTTAGATAGTCGAGTGAAAAGATCACCTCCTCTGAGGAAGTCCAAGATAAGGTACAGTTTTCCTTCAGTCTGAAAAGCTGCCAAATTAAAAAAAAGACATGCACATCATCTCCTGAAACTAATTCAGCGACAGTGAACAAGTCATGCAGGATTGGTTCCGAAACATGTGACAACACTATAAAAGTGCTATTTATCAAAAGCAGCATAAAGATGCAATGGCTCCAGTCAAAACAGAAATGAGGAAATACTAGCTCTAATGACAATGTCAAACTATCCATCACACTCCTATATGGTACCCAGTGTGAGCATTAACCATTCTCAGCTTGATATTTTCCTACCAGACACCAGCACAACCCAAGTAAGATAAAATTATGTGACAGTTTGAATATTTTTACAATGCTCCAGTGAATGTTAACAGCCAGTCACATATGGGAAAATATTTTTAAAAAATAAAACGACTATTATATCTACTGAATTGATTGGAACACACCAAGAAACCACTTATAATAGTTGGAAATATACAACAGGTTTAACAGCATCTGTCACCCCAGAAACAGAGTTAATCCTTCAGGCCAAAGGCATGGCATCAGATCTGGAAAAGATTCAAGATGCAAGAGATTTTGAGCAAATACAAGGGCAGAAAAGGGGAAGCACAATGAAGGAAGGTCTATAATAGCATTGAAGGAAGGAGAGAAGAAATCGCAAAAGGAATGATGCAAGGCAAAATGTGCAATGCAAAAGATCAAAATTCGATCCAGTAAATAAAGAAAAAGTTGTGTCTAGAAATGGTGTAAATATCAAATGTAGAATCTCAACTACCAGCTACCACTCTAACAAATAACAGAAAGCCACACAGAGAAAGAACACAAAAAGGAAAAAAAGTGGAGTCTGAATTTAGGATTCTGGCCACCATGTACCATTTGGAGATGAGGGTCTGTTTCCATTCTGTACAGTTCTATGACTCTATGATAAGGAAAAGGAATGAAGCATGTGTTAGGTACAGAACATAAAAAAATGGAAATTCCTTCAGGTGAAAGGACAGTGTAAGGGGGTGCTTAGAATTGAAAGACAAAGGGGGACCATGAAATATCTTTGGCAGATAAGATTAAGGAAAACCACAGGCAGTATATAAGAATATTAAGAGTAAGCGGATTACCAGGGAATGAATGGGGTCTACCAGAGACCAAAGGGGCAATCTGTTTGTGGAGCCAGAGGATGTAGGTGAGGTTTTAATTCAATATATTCACAAAGGAGAAAGACATTGTAGCTGGAGATTTCAGTTGGGATGATGAGGTTCTACAGCATGTTAAATTTAATGAGGAGGAGGTGGTATTGGATGTTTTATCAAGCATAAAGGTGCATAACTCACCAGGGCCTGACGTGATGTATCACAGGCTGCTTTGGGAGGCAAGGGAGGAGCTTGCAGGGGCTCGAGCAGAGATACTTAATACTTCACTGACCATGGGTAAAATGCCAGGTGACTGAAGGATAGCTAATGTGTTCCTTTGTTCAAGATGGGCAGCGGGGACAGGTCAGACAATTACAGACCAGTTAGTCTGATGTCAGTGGTAAGGAAATTATTGGAAAAAAATTCTGAAGGACAGGATTAATTAATACTTGGAAAGGCTGGAATTGATCAGGAATAGTCAGATTGGAATGGATGTAGGGAGATCCTAGCTGACTACTTTAGTTGAGTTTTTTGAAAAGGTGGCTAAATATATTGACAAGTGTAGTGCAGTTGATGTGGTTAATACGGACTTCAATAAGGCCTTTAACTAGGTCCCAAATGGAATGCCGGTCGAAAAGGTAAGAGCCCATGGGATCCAAGGCAAGTTGGTAAGTGGATCCAAAACTGTCTTGCAAATAGGAGACAAAGGGCGATGGTGGAATGTTGTGTTTGTGATTGGAAGCCTTTGACCAGTGGTGTATCACTGGGACCCTTGCTGATGGTTATACATAGTAATGACTTGAATGTAAATGTAAAACGTATAATTGGTAAGTCTGCAGATGACATGAATATTAATAGTGAGGAGTATTGTCTCAGGCTACAGCTTGATATTGATCAGCTCATAAACTGAGCAGAGCAATGGCAGATGGAATTTAATCCTGAGAAGAGTGAGGTGGCACATTTTAGGCGGTCTAATAAGGGAAGGATTTACACAATGAATAGTATGTTCTTAGGCATAGATAGGATAGGTCATGAGAATCTTTTTCCCATGACAGACTTATCTAAGACCAGCGAGCATACATTTCAGGAGATAAGGAAGTGGTTGAGAGGGGAGCTGAGGAAAAATATTTTCACCCAGAAGGTCGTGGAAATGTGGAACATGCTGCCTAAGATGGTGGTGGAAGCTGTAATCTCACTACATTTAACTAGCAGCTGTATGAGACTTAAATTGCCAGGGCATAGTAGGCTGTGGATGAAGTGCAGATAATTAGGATTAGCAGAGTTTGGTGTTTATTGGTCAGCGTAGATTTGGTGGGCTGAAGGACTGCTTCTATACTGTATGACTCTTATGACTTGATTTAAAATGGGGCCAGTATCTATTCTCTACAATTGTTCAACTCAATGTTTCATTCAGAGAATTGTAAAGTATAGCTAAAGAAAAGAAGCGGTTGTGCTAATTAAGCTTAAATTGAGCTTCATTGGAACGATATAGGTGGTTATCCTCAGTATGGGAGTGGGATAGAGAACTGAAATGACAAATCATCCACAAATTCCAGATGACACTTGTGCACTAAACAAAGTGTTCTGCAAAAACTGTCACCTAATCAGCATTTGGTCTCTTCAATGAAGATGAATCACATAATGAGTAGAGAATATTGTATAATAAATAGAAAGAAGTGCACATAAATTGATGATTCACCTCTGCTTAATTCACATGCATGACCTGAAGCTTCTGGTTAATTGCTATTTTAATTTTACTTCCCACTCCCCTGTGTCCTTAGGCCCTTGCACTTCATCGTTCGACATGGCAACTTACAGCCTTTTGGATTCAACACTGAGTTCAACAATTTAAGATCATAACCATTGCCGCTGCTTTTTGAAGCTTTCCTCTGCACTTCCTTTATTTTTCATGTTTTTGAATGACAACTGTCAGTGATGATTTGGATATTCTGACTTACACCAATTCTAAACTTATCTTTTGCACATTTACTGATAGCAAAATTACCTCATTTCATCCTGCACCATCATCCCTATTGCCATTCATTATTTCATGCTTTCCAACCTATCATAGACCATCGCTTTTGTTCTTTCTTCCCTTCTGCCATTCCGTACTTCTGCACTTGTTTAGAATCTATTACAGTTCTAATTTATTTTCCAATTATACCAGAAGTTAAACATGGTGAAGCAAAAATGCTATTTCTTTCTCCACAGATACCACCAGGGCTGCTGAGTATTTCCAGCATTTTCTGTCTTTTTTTCAGATTCACAGCATCCACTCTTGCTGGATTATTGATTCTATACTTCCAATAGACAGACTGAATCCTGAGAAATAAATTGACAAAGGTTTAAAAAGATGTTTTTGGAACTGACGTGAGTCTGCCTGCCACCACATGTGTGTACATAGCTGTCCTTTAGCTAATCAAATGGAATCTCTGGTGACAAAGATTAACTCTGTTCAATGCAAAACTTCTACAATCCTGTCAAATACAAAAATGATTATTATTGCAATAGTATAATAATTACTTTTCCAATCTAAATCATATCTTTACATTGTTGTTGTTGCCTGCCAAGAGATTAAAAAAAACTCACCATAATGCAGCTTCACTATGAATGGATGATTTACATCCACCAAGATGTCTCTTTCCAATTTAGTCCGAACACGATCCCTAACTGAAATGAAGCAAAACTGTGATTAAAACAAGGCTAACCACATCATTAGCAGATACCTTATATATATATTCAATTTATTCAATACAAAATCCAAGACACTTTAATGCTGCTTTCTCCCCACTCACAGAAGTCCTGCAATAACCTTTCTGTCAATCACTGGATCTTCGATGATCAATGTTCCTTAGTGTGCTCAGCAAGATCATACCTTTCAATGTTGCTTTCTTCAGAACCTTCATAGCATAGAGCTGACCTAAATCAGGTGCTTTGATCTTTCTCACCAGAAATACCTGCAAATACAAAATATAAACTATATATTATAGATTCTTGTTGGACGAATCAAGGGTTCTGTCATAACTCAGGAAGCCCAAGTGAAAAGGAACATGGTTTATTGTTGAACACCAAAGTAGCACTATAACCCAGGGCTTACATAAGTTAGTCTCAGCCGGGGACAGCTTTATAGAGGGTTCAGGTGATGAGTTTTACTGAGCAGCCATTATCTGTTACCAAGCGAACTCGCACTTAAGCAGCTCCAAAGAGGTTAATTAGTGAGTCGCATGGGCCTTATATGGGTTATCACAGATTCCTTACCTAGAGATTGCTCTTTGAGATGATAAGAAGGCTTACATACTGTTATAAAGTGGAGGCTGATTCCCCCCTCACCGAGAACTAAAACCAAAACACCCAAAGAGGAGCACCTCACCCTATAATTTGTAAAGAGGAGTGTGAAAATTGGTGTAACCTGCCTTTCAGCAATTTGTAGTGGTTAAATAAAATACATCCCTGACACTCACTTTAAAATCAATAAGTAACAATTTATTTATCTAACTCCAACAGTGAGCAAATTAACTAAACTATTAACAAACCAAATAAACCTCTTCTAACTATTCCAGAATAAAGCAAGATTCTAATAGTATGCTATTCCAATGAATACAAATCCCACTTATATAAGAGAAGATAGAATTTAGTCTCTCGAAATTACAGCCAGCTCACGTGTCTTCCACAATGTTCTGTACTTTATCCATCAATTCTTCTATTAGGGATGCCTTCTCCGTCAATTCGTCTGTCAGGAATATTAAATAGCTGCGCTATCAGTGGTGCTTTCTCTAAAACATAGAGGAGGCTGTGAGAGCCAACAATTCTCCCTTGAGAGCTGAGGTCTATTAACTCTGGTGGACGGCAGTTAGCTCTGGGACTTTGTCCAACTGTCCTTATTTTTATACCTTTGATAACATATCAATATTTCTTATAATAGGACTGGTCCTCAGTTGTCAAAGCCATCAGATTTAAATTTAATTGGTTTTTGATGTCTAAGTGACTGGTCCAAATTGATTGGCTAAATTCAAAAGCTTGTTGTTTTGATAAAAACAGCTGCTTGGCCTGCTAATTGCACAGCCTTTTGATACAAATATTTCAATTTAGGGGCTCTCTGTGTACTTGCAAACTTTCAAGCTGCTGCTCACAGACCTCCAATTTAAATCTCTAAGCATAGAGAAAGCACATCATCTTTTCAATGCTTTACTCCCTAGCATTTTACAAACACCAAATTCTAACTTCCTGCCTCCCAATCCACAAGTACTCTACCCAACTTCACAATAATACTCTTATGACTCCAAGAGATGTAAGAGTAGAACCGTTGGTAAGGTTCGTCAAGTTACCAGCGAAATTAAAAGATGTTGTTCTATACAGGGTCATGAGTTGGAAAGATGTTCATTTCATCGAAAAAAAAAATGCTTTTTATTGGGGAAACAGCCGGAGATGATTCAAGTCCATTATGGACTTGTATATATAAATGACAGCTGTGAAGAACCATAAGACAAAACAATATTCTAAAAGAGTACGTATTACTCTCTTTAGATTAAGCTATCGCACACTTATCAAACATTCAAGGAACATTCAGGATTTAACTATTGATTTAGGAAGCTTTTTTTTTACCAAACTACATACCTGGGAGGCTGTTTGTTCTTTGAGACAATCAGAATCTTTTAAAATCATTTGAAAGAATATTACATTGTTAATTGTGGCTCATGCAAGATTAATATTTCATTATTCTGCCCTACATGTGACTCCAGGCCTACAGAATTTTGAGATTTCATACATTTACCAAACCTGGAATATATTTATGATGTGATCTACATTGGCTGCAAAAGAATTAACATTTCTTTCACGGCAACTGCTGGAAAATCTAGAGATCGTAGGAGTTTTGATCAGGTAGGATGTTAAAAAGTTGAAAGTCTGAAATCTGGCCCAAATCCATGTAATTCCATTTTTAACAAAGCATGACATGGGGCTGGATGATTTATCTGTGGCCTGATAGAAATCAGATGATAAGTCTAGAGATGGTGTTAACTGGAACAATGATCACCAACAGCTGCCATTAGGTTGTCGTGCCTTAGAGAGAAAATCACCCCAACACTGACCCTTCCAATTTCACCCCAATAATACTTCTAAGATCCTCCCCTCAAGGTTAGAGTGCTGAAGTCACAAGACATACTGACCTTTCCAAAGGATCCCTGACCAAGTACTTTCAGCAACTCAAAGTGAGATGGATCTGCTTTCTCCGACCCCTCTTTCACATGATGTGTAATGTTGATCTCTTTTACATTTCCTTCATCCTGAAAAACAAGATCAGCCTGTTAAAAAGCAAACACTCCCAACTCACTTTATTCATATTCAAAACAAAAGGAGCCTTCCATTCGGAGGCCAGTGCCTCCCACAAGCTAAATCTTAGAAGCTTATATGTGACAAACATGCACATCATCCGTGATCCCACTGAATACAGATAAGAATCAAGAAGCTAAATGGCCTACTCCCATTAATGTATTCCAATGATATAGTGCTGCAGGACTAACAATCACGCTTTTAATAATGGTAAGCATCAGGGATTGATACTCAATACCTGATTGTGCCCTTTCAAAGCCAAATACCATACAACTCCATTTCAAAATCGCTTTCATTTACCCATTCTTCAAAAGACAGTACCCCTGGGTCCTCCATTCTTGAAGACCATCGTCACATCGTTGACATCCCTTTTCCCTCCAAAATAACTCACAATATCTCTCAAACATGTGCCCATCTCTCTCAAAAGTCATTTATATAAATGATTTGGATGTGAACACAGGAGGTATGGTTAATAAGTTTGCAGGTGACACCAAAATTGCAAGTAGACAGTGAAGAAGGTTACCTCAGAGTTCAATGGGACCTTTATCAGGTGGACCAATGGGCAGAAGAGTGGCAGATGAAGTTTAATTTAGTTAAATGTGAGGTGCTGCATTTTGGAAAGGCAAATCAGGACTTATACACTTAATGATAAAGTGCTGCGGAGTGTTGCTGAACAAAGAGACCTTGGAATGCAGATTCATAGTTCCTTGAAAGTGGAGTCCCAGGTAAACCGGGTAGTGAAGAAGGCATTTGGTATGCTTGCCTTTACTGGTCAGTGCATTGAGTATAGTAGTTGGGCGGTCACATTGCAGCTGTAGAGGACATTGGTTAAGCCACTTTTGGAATATTATGTTCAATTCTGGTCTCCCTGCCATGCGAAGGATGTTGTAAAACTTGAAAGGGTTTAGAAAAAATTTACAAGGATGTTGCCAGGGTTGAAGCGTTTGAGCTATAGCGACAGACTGAATAGATGGGCTATTTTCCCTGCAGAGTCAGAGACTGAGGGGTAACCTTATAGAGGTTTATAAAATCATGAGGGGCATGGATAGGGTGAATTGTCAAAGTCTTTTCCCTGCAGTGGGGGAATCCAGAATTAGAGGGCATAGGTTTAAGGTGAGAGGGGAAAGATTAAAAGGGACCTCAGGGGCAACATTTTTCATGCAGAGGGTGGTGCATGTATGGAATGAGCTGCCATAGGAAGTGGTGGAGGCAAGTACAATTACAACATTTAAAAGGCATCTGGATGGGTATGTGAATAGGAATGATTTAGAGGGATATGGGCCAAATGTTGGCAAATGGGGCTAGGTTAGTTTAGGATATCTGGTCGACATGGATGAGTTGGACAGAAGGGTCTGTTTTCATGTTGGACAGCTCTGTGACTCTATGACTAACTTGCTGGAATCTCTCTGATCAGGTTTTTTCCCCTACCACATACTGATATGTGATGATCAAAATCACAAATGACATTCTTTGTGACTGTGCATTATCCCATCTCACTCCTGGTGGCCTTTCTGGATACTCTGACACGGACCAAGGTATTATCCTCCTGACATTTTTCTCTACTAACAAACTAAATGGGAATGTACTCATTTGGCTCATACAACACACACAAACAAGAGTAGTCCACATGGCCCTTTGAGCTTGCTTTGTCATTCAATAAAATCATAGCTGATCTGATTTTAACCTCAGTCCTGCATTCCTGCATATCCCCAATAATCTTTCATCCCCTTGGTAATCAATCATCTATCTACCTCTGCCTTAACAATATTTAAAGATTCTGCACCTACTGCTTTTAGAATTCTGAAGATTCACAACTCTCTGAGGGGATTAAAAACCTTTCCTCATACCTGCTCTAATTGAGCAATCGCTTATTTTTAAATTGTGACACCTAGTTCGAGATTCTCCCACAATCCTTTCAACATTCACCTGTTTCAGTTCTCTCAGAATCGTATATGCTTCAATTAAGTCTCAATGAATCTTCTAAACTCTACAGGATATGGGCCTCACCTGTCTAGTCTTCCCTCATAAGGCAATCTACTTATTCCAAGTATTAGTTTAGCAAACCTTCTCTAAGTTGTTTTCAATACATCCTTCCATAAGTGACCTATACTCCCGATGTGGTCTCACCAATGCCCTGTACGACTGAAGCACAGCCTCTCTAATGCGGTATTCAATTCCCCTCATAATAATAAACCATAACATTCTATAAGCTTTCTTGATTGTTAAATATTAACTTTCTGTTATTCATGCATTAGGACACTCAGATCTCTCTGCACCACAAAGTTCCACAACCTCTCACTATTTAGATAATATTCTTTTTTTTTCTGTCAAAATAGACAATTTCACACTTGTACCCATTTGCCAGATCTCTGCCCACTCACTTAAGCTATCTATATTCCGATGTAGACTACTTATGTCCTCTTCCCAATTCACTTTTCTACCTATCTTTGTGTCATCAGCAAATTTAGCTACCGTATCTTTGGCCCCTTCATCTAAAAGGTAACCACTCATTTTTATTTAATCATAGCCAGAGCAACCCCAGCAATGTCTTCTCTTGTCCCTGCAATGTTAACTCTGAAGTCCCAAAGTAACATACCTAACCTTCCCTCATCTGTATACATTTGCAAAGACATAAGTGCTAACAAAGGCGCAGCCACGCTGGACAGATTGAAATCAAAACACATAACTTTTCTTTTGTGGAGAGAGTTTACTAACTTCAGTAATTTTATTCCTTTCATTCCCCATCCAGAGTTACAGGTACCTGTATGTGTGCTCAGACAATTACTAGCCACTGCATGTTTCTTTCTAACCTTAAAAATAGACATCAACAATTTTAAAAATGTGATTAATTAGACATTAAGGGTAGGGTCGACTTCATACGTGTTGAGGACCTCCGGGTTTACCTTTCAAATGACGTTGAACCCCTTGAACTACGTTTAGGTTGCCAAGCTGCTGGTCTAATATCGAGTGCTGGATGAACCAATCTTCTTGTCACTTCTGGCCTCAACTGCTCCAAAACTCGCCTAGTCAGCCTCCCATTCTTTATATACAAGCCCCGACACTGTCTTGTTCCTACCCATCTCCCAAAACTCAGTCAATCCCCAAATCGTTTACCCAGAAAGTGTCAGGCATATCTTCGGCTGTTAAGGAGCTAAGTTCTGGAATTCTCCCCTTAAATTCTCGGTCCTCCTGTATGACACTAATTAAAACCTACTTGTTTCACCACAGTTTTAATTATTTATTTTGATATCTCTTTCTTCAGCTTAAATGTCAATTTTTGTCTGATTATTCTTCCTTTGAAATGCCTTGGGCATATCCTTTCTTCAAAAGTACTTGCAATTGCAAAAATGCAATTTATCCTTAAGTTAGGTGCAAATGAAGCAGCTAATCCACAGCAATACCTAACTTTGGCTTTTAAATAACTCTTAACTGTCTCTCAAATCATTCCTGAGACTTACATTTACTGCTAACTCTAGACGGAAGAACATTTCAGATAACATTCATGCCATCAGGGTTGAGTTTACGTTTTATCAATTTGTACACAAGTACTGCAACTTAACTTGAAATATCTTTCACCTAATTCCTTACAGGACATTGTAATATTCCCATCATTTTTGCCCTTTCAAGTGTTAAAAGTCCAGGTTTTTCTAATTTTTCCTAATAACCTAATCCTAATATTAGAGATCAAACTTATGACACTTCTCTGCACCACTGTATTATATCCTTGCTATTTTGGTAACCGGAACTGAACATAATAAACAAGGAACCACCTGGTCAAAACAATGTACATCTATATAGAACCTAATAATAAAGCAAAATGTTCCAAGCTATCTGACAGGAACATTGTTAGAAATAAAATCATACCATATATTAATGTCTCGTGGCCTCAGACTTGGGCTCTAATTTCAGAATTCTGTTTGAAGATAGTAAGAACTGCCAATGCTGGAGTCAGAGATAACACAGCGTGGAACTGGAGGAACACAGCAGGCCAGGCAGCATCAGAGGAGTAGAAAAGTTGACGTTTTGGGTCGGGACCCTTTTTTTTT